GGGGGGGGGGGTTTCAGCAGTTTAAAAGCTTTCTGCCTTTTTTGGAATTTTTTTTAAGTCTGTGGGGGGTTTTCTTTAACTTGAGTTTACTTGGCCTATTTACTATATAGTATACAATAGTTTTAAATATCTTTCCCCATGGCTTTAATTGTAATATGCTAATATGTAAATTAGATTCTACTTCTCACTATCCAGATTCATCGGTCTTCCTTTTTCTTTTCTGACTAGTTAAATGATTGTGGCTTTGTAATAACTCCTCTCGGGTATAGCAATTTTTCACAATAACTATACTCTGTTGCCATCTTTGAGTCTCTTGCTTGTACACTTTTTCATATGAACGATGGAATTATTTATTCAGAATCTATAAAGTACCCATTGATATTCTGGCAACAATTTACTTTGTAAGCCAAAGTTACCATGTGAATAGCTGCAGGTACAACATCATGCCAGCCCCAAAGCAAACAGAGCTGTGACAGGAACACAACACCTACATGGTAACAGCGCTCAGAAGCCCAGTAGACAGTCAAGTTTGTCCGGGGTAGTTCGTTGTGAATGAGCAGCAAAGCCTGGTCCATCTTCAGCTCTACATGCCTTGTTTTGTCTAAGTCTGGTAAGAATTAGAAAAATAGTTAAAAATTAAAAGAACAAGCCACCTGATGGAGATGTTAGCAGTTGCAAAGTGTACCTGTGCGACCATGGCTTGACAGGTGTGTTTGTCAAATGGGTGCACACTAGGGTTTCTGGGTTCTCTCATCCCTTACTTTATGCACATGCAAATGTGCCTGAATGCACACACACCCACACACACACGCACACACAAGTCCCCTTTGGCAATGGTGGCTCTTTGACACCAAGGTTTCGGTGAACATGGTTCACATCCAGCAGGCAACAGTGTCATGTAAGGACTTCACAATCAACATGAAGGTGTGAAGAGCAGTGAACTAGTTTCCACTTATCTTCTATTTGATAATATGCCAAACTCATGAGCAAGCTACTTTCTCCATTTTACAGCAGGTGAAATGAAAGCTCACAAGGATGAGAGAACTACTCCTGGCCATAGAAGCTGTCTGTGAACCACTGAATATGTGTGATTCCAAAGCCCAAACTTATCTTATTTTTTTTATAAATATTTATTTATTTATGCACACAGAACCAGGGTACAGGCCAGAGGTGCAGGGGCAGTGAGAGGATTCGCCAGAGACACAGTGGGGAGCAGAACAGGCAGATCATCAAAGTACACTGCTGAGGGGAGCAGCGGGAGGGTCAGGAGAGGTCTGCCACGCCATGTGGCAGGGGCAGGCGGGGATCGAACTCATGTGGAAGTGGCTTTGGCTTCTTAGTGCTGTGCTTTAACCCACTGTGCCACCAGGGAGGGCCAGCCCAAGCTTATCTTAACCATAAACATGACATCTAAATTAAATCTGATGTTTAATCTCAAGAAAAAGCTGTGGGTTTCAAATATAGCTGGTTTAGAAATAGTAGGGCAATGCTTAAGGAGCATTATATCCAGCAGAACAACTCCCTCCTTCTCTTCCTATCTATTGTGTCTTGGTGAGGAAATGAATCAAATAAAGCCGCCTTTCAAATCTATCCGAGTAACTTTGCTACTTGTATGTTATTAACCTTGTATTTCATTTCCAAATATTGAAGTCCTACTTTTGTTTCTTTGCCTATGAGTATCTTTGCTAGGCACATGAAAAAAAAAAAACATTTATTGATTTATGCTCACAGAACTGGGGTACAGGCCAGAGGTGCAAGGGTGGTAAGAGGATTCACCAAAGACAGAGTGGGGAGCAGAACAGGCAGACTGACGAAGGAGCAGTGGGCAAGGCAGGAGAGGTCTGCAGCACCAATGGGTCACCTCCCTGGCCGGGGGATCGAAGTCTTGATGAGGTGGCTGGGGCTAGGGACTAGCTTCCTGCGAGCTAACTGGTTGTGCCACCAGGGAGGGTCTGCTAGACACATTTTTAAAGACTTAAAGTTTCTCTTTTCAAATAAATGAGTCCTCAAATTATGGAGTTCTCAGTAAGAAGCTGTCCAGCCCAAACCTGGACTCCAGGTGGCACTAAAAGCCAGGTTATCCTCTAAACACAGCTTCCTGAAGGTCCTAGGGAAGATAGCTTAAGAATACTCAGTCCCGCCCTCCCTGGTGGTGCAGTGGGTTAAAGCACAGCACTGAGAAGCTAAAGCCGCTTCCGCATGAGTTCGATCCCCACCTGCCCCGGAGGAGACCACATGGTGAGGCAGACCTCTCCTGACCTGCCCGCTGCTCCCCTCAGCAGTGTACTTTGTCTATCTGCCTGTTCTGTTCCCCACTCTGTCTCTGGTGAAGCCTCTCGCCACCCCTGAGCCTCTGGCCTGTACCCCAGTTCTGTATGTACAAAAAAAAAAAAAGAATACTCAGCCCTCCTTCACTACATAGAATTACTATTTACAAACCACCTTTTTCCTAAAATAATCTACATTACTAACTGATGCTAAGGTACAAAAAAAAGGGGGAAGGCCTTTTACAGGTTTGATCAGTGACAAGTTGTGAGAGACAGATTATGTAACCCCTTGGGGTCTGTTTCCTCAATTTTACATTGCAAGGGAGTGGACAGTTGGAGGTGTGGAAAGCAGAACACAATAAGTAATCAACTGAGATGTTTTCTCAAAATTCATTTTGTCCTCGCCCTACAAGATTCTGGTTAAGGAGGAAGGGCTATCGAGCTACACACACTGATGTCCTGATCTCCATATTCTAATAGCGGGATCAGGAGAGACAAAAGATGCAGATGACTGTCACTCCCAAACTGAGTAAAGTTTGCAGCCCTATTCGCTGGATTCTACCTTCTCCAACCAAAACAACTCCCTAGGGAGGGACCTGGGTCCTGGGCTCCTCGGACCAATGGACAAGAGAATGGCCCTGAATTATTTTTTAAGATTTATTTATTTATTTGCATACAGAACCGGGTGTAGGCCAGAGGTACAGAGGTGATGAGAGGATTCACCGGAGTCGGAGTGGGGAGCAGAACAGGCAGACTCATGAAGTACACTGATCAGGGGAGCAACAGGCGAGACAGCAGAGGTGGGCTGTGCCATGTGGGTCAGATCGAGCTGACGCAGCTGTGGCTAGCTTCGCAGTGCTGTGCTTTAATCCGCTGAGCCACTGGGGAGGGCCCGCTCCGGAATTTTTTTATTTTACCATTTCCCGCTTTGAGTTCGAGGGGTCGGCACGTTAAGAGTAAGCCTGGAGGAGCACAGTGCTGCTTTCCCAGCTGCGCTTTAGAATCGCCCCGCCCCACCCCACCCCAAGCACCCCAGCCCGGCCGCGAGGCTCTTAAGGCGGCTACTGCACAAACCGCAGGGTGCCAGCACTCCACCACCTCAACACTGTAGGGGTGAATTTGGCTAAAGGGAGTCTAGGGAGCGATTTGCAGGAGATTGCACTTACGTTTTAACCACCACCTCCAGCAATCAGCGCCCCCCGGCGCCGCCTCCACCGTTTTCATTCTACGTCCGCCTCCTCTTGGGAGTGTAACCCCAGGGCCGGGGTGGAACCCTGCTTTTCCAGCTGTGTACTAGGGCTGGTTTGCTCGGCGCCCCGCAATTCCTGACACCCGCAAGGCAAAGTTCTGCGCCCCCGCTCATCCAGCTTGCCATCTGCAAGGCTTTGTGCTCTTTGGGGGGATCAGGCTTTATTTGTGTAAAAGTCTCCCCACACAGTGGACTAGATGGGGGATGGGTGTCGGATGCACCCCGTTCTTGACCAGCCCATCTCAACTAGCTTTGCACTGGGGGAGTAACAGGTCTCCCGACACAAACAAAGGTCGCCGAAACCACCAGGTGCCCCCTGGTCCCGGAGCGGACGTGCAGGGAGAACGCTGGCTCCCCTGCCCCGGGGCCCTCGGAACAGCCGGGAGTCCCACTCCCTCCTGGCCAGCTCGGCTGCGCCACGTCGGTGTTTTCCTGTCTGGACGGGTGCGGTCTGCAGGCTGGGGATCGATCCCTCCACTGCACCAGCCACCCCTTGTCCCCCAATGCCGCCCAATGAGGCGCCTGCGACAGCAGCCCAAGGGGCTAACACCGGGATCCCTGGCCCGCGTGCTGTAGTGGATGCAAACTCCAGTTCCGGGGAATAGCCTTTCCCAGAGGCCCGCCAGCCGCGCGTCCGGAGCCCGGAGGGGGCGGCGCTGCGCCCGGGGG